TCAAATCTCGCAAACTTTGCGCTTCGTGTAAAATGCGAAATTATGCGGCATCATCTTAATCTATTAGCGATCAGTTTTCAGATCCGTTTTGATGGAATAAAATCTCATTTTGTTAGTTAAATAATAATTTATGAGGCTCTGTAAAATTCTCAAATTGCCAGTATGAGGCTATGAAGAGTCGAGCACGGTTATTATAATGGCATAAAAGTTAAATAGTAACTATGTATAAAATGGTTTCCCTGCACAGATAATTTATCAACGTCAAGAATTTTATTAATATGTAATTTCGCCTTTGTGTTTTAAACGCTTCTCTCCCGTCCTAATTCCTACTTGCATCTATGTTTTCAATATAACTGCAACAAAGAAAGTCTGCTCTATCCCAAAAGACAAATTTGTTTCAATTAAAGAAATTTCGCCAGATCCAAAAGAACCTTTTCCCACCGTGTAGCTATCAGATTCCCGCCAATTTTCCGAAACTTCAAGAAGATAAACAAACCGACCCTTTAATTGAACGCGTTGGTAAAACAACGGTGGCCTTTAATAGATTAAAACCGCGGTCGAGAGAATTCACTGCGACATTAAGCTAATCTGAATCTTATCGGGCGGCGATTCCGCGAGATTATCCAGATAACTCTCGCGATCTTCATGCACTTAAACGAGTATATCTAGATGTAGGCTTCAATTTTTACTATCTTATCTAAGTCGCATTGCATACCTGCCGAGAGAGTGGGACGGGGAGGCGCGGGAACGGTGACGTAGTCGGCGTAGACGGCCGCGCCGGCGACAATGAGTATCTGGAATGAAAATGGCAAATAATCATCAATCAATGAACCAGCAGACGGGTAGTCTAGGACTAAGAGACGCTCGGGAGGGAGGACTAGACGCACACACCGCAAACGTCAACGATCGACATGGGCAAGACGCGAAACGGAGCGCGAGCGAGAGGGGAGGGCGCGCGCATCCTGCACCAGGACATTTCGAGAGTGCTCGATGCATTGTCACTCTCGGGGCCTATCCTTGGTCCACCACCTCGGTGGCGGTCCGAAACCACCCCGTCGCTCGCGTATGCGCGCGCTACGCCGACGACTCGGTACAACCGTTCGCATTCGCCAATAGACCGATCGACGCGGCCTTTCTCGCGTGTTTCACGTACACGACTTCCCGATGTGAGCAAACAAACAATTCGATCGTCTCCCCGATACCGTTATCGCCCGATACAGCGATAACCCACTCGGGGATTATTTTCGCGAATGGAATACTATTGGATAAAGAAAGCTGCAACTCGAGAAAAAGGGACCGTCTTGCGACTGTCCATTCGCATGCGCTCACGCACGGGGTCACCGCCGATGGACGGTCCCCGGAATCCAGTAGCGGCGTCTCCGCGACGGGTCACCCGTTACAATTCCGTAGGCATGCGTGGCTATTGCCTAACTCTCGCGTAGACAGTCTCCGTACATAAGCGGGATTGCCGGCCGGCGCGTACATACTCGGGTCCGCGGCGCGCGTATCTGGAAGCCCGCCGGCCGACGGTTGGTAGGTAGGTAGGTAGGTACGTAGGTACCGTATTATATACGTAGTGAGGGTTGGAGGGTCCTCACCGCCGCAACATTACGCTGATTGCCTGAATTATCCGCAACCAGCCCGCCTGTGCTCTCCGCTATGTACGTACGAGCCTCGCGAGCTCGCACATACAGCCTACGTAACGTACATATGTGCTTCTCGTTCGCGTCCGTATGTATCGCACGCATATGTAGATGTGTTGATATATGCGTGTATGTATATATACATAAGTACATATTACATATATGTAGGTATACATATGCGAGCGCGTACATGCGCTCCCCGGTCCCTACGCTCTCTCCGACGACGACGTGCTGCACCGACGCCGCATACGCATTCGCGAGCTACGCGCGAACTCACGCGTGCTCCGCGTCGTGCGGTGCGTATATGTATAGTACATACGCGACGTGCGGTATATACATGTGCGAATTCATATATATATATGTATGTACGCGCACGTGTACAACAAACACGCGCGCGCGCGAATCGCGCCTCGCCAAGTGTGGCATACCGTATGTATGTATCGTCACGCTCGTAGGACGGCGACGAGGAGAAAATTGAAAACGGAGCTGCGCGCGAGCGCGGAAGACGATAGCGCGATATATTCATGAAGGCGGAATAATGAATCGAGACGAGAGAAACACGGCGCATCCCGGCATGCGCGGTTATCTGCCGTACCGGCAAACCGACGCGGAATCGATCGCTTTATTTTTCAGCCCGGCCCGACGACGTGCTCGGGAATTTTCCGCCGCCGATCGCGATGCCGGCGAAATCGAATGAACATTCTCGCGTTCTACCAAGTTCTCCTTCTGTTTTCTCCCCCGAATTGTTCAATCCTCGAATTATTAAATGAAATAATACTATTCCAAATCTTCCTCATCGGACGGATACGCTGCATTGCCGCGTCTCGTTAAATTACGTATAAAGTATAATTAATTGCACTTGTCAGAATCAGAGTTGTACGGCCAATAAAGAACTAATTAGACGAGGTGACACATGCATGGCTCGAATTTGGTTTACATTTATTTAACGCCTTTAACAATTCGGATCAATCGAAGAATAATTAATTAATCGAGGAATTAATTCAAATTAGTCGAAAAACGCGCGATAATTCGTGAATAATCGTTAAAAATGAGTCCGCGGGAGAGCGTCATCTTCCGTGGTAGCCCTGGCCATGAATTCGTTTCGAGCGAAGCGCGGACGGACGGACGGACGTGCATCAGGACGGCGAAGGGGACGGAAGGGCGAGGAAGGGTTAAGGACGCGTATCATATCGCTTGATTAATGTACTTCGCCCGTGTATCCGCCTACCTCTGCGCGAACGCCGCATACACGCGCGGATAGCTCGGACACGCGTGTCATTTGTTAGTTACGCCACCGGGCGAAGCGGCGATATACGGTGGTAGCAACAAAACGTTACAGCGAGAGACGACGCATCGCGTCCGCGATCGCGTGAATTTATGACGTGGCCAGAGACGGGCCGAGATGAAAATCTATCAGCGAGCTTATGCGTGGCCGCGTTTTCTCGTGGTGGGTCGCTCGAATCTCGAAGAAGTCGCGATATTCGCGAAATTCACGAGGACTTTAATCGAACTTGCCGGTAAGCGAGAATTATTTATCGACGCATGTCTATTCTTTCCGGCGAGTTCGTCGACAGGGGAGGGGGAGGTTTTACCGTTCTTTATAGTCTAACTTTTTTCCTAAAGAATTTCCAATACATGCAATAACAAAAGTTTTGTGTTACAAACGGTCCATTGAAATTTGGTGTCACTTAACACAATAAATGCGTTAAAATTAGAACAATGCGAGCGTCTACACGCACGATAAAGAGAAACATAACTGCGGTTCCCGAGCTCTACGTTTCGCGGCGAGAAACGTCACGTTTGTGACGTGAGCAGAGAACCGTAATCGACCTTTGATCTGATAAGATCGTCCATTTTTCATGCGCACTTTGATTTCATAGATCACGTCATCGTTCCGGATGCGTCAGCACCCGGAAAAAGAAGCTTTCAGATCGCGATAACGGCTGGTAACTATGTCTATTTCCGGCGATAGTAATTTTTAGCGATAATACGAAGCTCGGGTGACCACCATCGTTGAAGTCCCATTTATCCTACTTAACTGCATGTGCTTTATCGATCGTTCAATGCGAACTGGACGTTGCACCGAGAGACTAGTTGAATGTCGATCCGGAGATACGAAAAACATGCGTGTCAGCAACGACGATGTTAACGATAAGCTGGAGGAGTGATCTCACATATTATTTCGCACTTGAGCTCACGCGTATTATTAATGCTTTCTTGGGCTGTATCACAGGTACACTAAATCCACCGGAAATTCCTACGACACCAACTCTGTAATTGTACACGTCACATTATTTATATAATTTTTATTTTTAATTTATATAATTTTCGCGAAAGACAGAAAGAGAGAGAGAGAGAGAGCGTTTCGCACGACGTAATTATCACTCTGCAGCCATATTTCCGTACATACGAACTGATCGCACGATGATATCTATCGCATCGCGAAAGAGGTAATCACTAAACAGCTCGAAAACAGGAAAAAATCGCGAGAGTCGATAAACTATCCCCAAGAGAGTCGGATGGCGCGCCGGCGATGCATTCGACGGGCGAGTGCAATTGCGAATTTTAAAATGCACGCCCGTTACCGCCCATTTTCCCGTTTTAATTTTTCGCTTCCGCCGGTATCGCGCGATCTGCATCGATGCAGATTATGCGTCCTGATAACATCGTGACCGGAGGTACGGTCAATTGAGATGTTATCGCGCGAAATTTCAAGGCCCCGGCTGATAACGGAAGATTGCGCCGCGCCGAAGGATTTACGCGCGCGTGCGTAAATGCGTAATATATCAAGATGTAACTTGAAAAGCTTCAATAACGATAAAACGTTTCGTGAGAATTCGCGATCGTTATCCAGCCGAGAACACCACGCGCCCCAATTTGCCTCTCATGATCTTATTGATTTTATTGCATCTTTCCTTTATCAATAATAAAGATATAAGCCGCGCTCGATTAAAAACACGTTTCGCGATAAGGACAAAAGTAAATGATATTTGTTGTGTGTAATTTACATTTCCCATATTTCTCTCGCATCCTGGCTGTGTACGTGAAATGACCAGCACTATGATTGCGTAGAGATCGTGCATGTCTGCGAGATACGCATATATTCAGTTGTGGGTTACGTGCAAAAATTCTTCCACGAAATTTGATCGATTACTGTCCTTTCCCCGGATAAAGAAAAGTCGTCATCCGCAGATATGATAATCCGTCGATGCGCATCGTGATAACGAGATGCACGTTTATAAAAGCGGAATACGTCTTAACATAATCATCCACTCATTTCGACTGCACAGTGAAGTGCCAGTGGGACGTACAAGGTACATTTTCTCTCTTCCACGTTCGGGAACAGGGTGATAGGCGATGAAGGGTAAGTACTGAGATGCGTAATAAATATTTCGAATGACAAAAGATTGAAAGCAAACGACCGAATTATTTTACATAATAACTTGGGTGCACGATATTTCTTTTGTCAATATTAATTATGACTCATTAGTTAATTTTGAGTTATTTAATCGTAACGAATTCTCTCCTTTCTTATGTTCAAAACAGGCATATACCTAATCGCCATCGCCACCGTTTTCCTGGCGTCATGGAGCGCGATCGCCGCAGAGGTGGAAGAATTCGGCAAAATCCCCACAAAATGTCCAGCCAAAGACCCGAAGAACACCACGATCCATCTCGCACACGAGACAGACTGTACGAAGTTCTACACGTGCCAAGCGGGCAAGAAGATACTGCAAAAATGTCCCAAGATGAACAAGGAGGGTGACAGATTGCATTTCAATCCGCGTCTTCAAGTCTGCGATTGGCCACAGAAAGCTGGTTGTAGGTATAAGGATTCTGGCAAAGACCAAGCTAAAGCGGAGGACGTACAGTTTGTTCCTGTTGAAGAGCTCCATGAGTCAACCTTTAAATGTAAAATTCCTACAAAGTGTCCAGCCAAGGACCCGAAGAACACCACAATCCACCTCGCACACGAGAGAGACTGTACGAAGTTCTACAAGTGCCAAGCGGGCAAGAAAATACTGCAACAATGTGCCAAGATGAACAAAAAAGGCGACAGACTGCACTTCAACCCATGTCTTCAAGTCTGCGATTGGCCACAGACAGCTGGTTGCGAATACAAGGACTCTGACGAAGACCATGCTAAAGCGGAGAACGAACAATTTGTTCCTGTTGAAGAGCTCCATGAGTCAACTCTTAAATGTAAAATTCCTACAAAGTGTCCAGCTAAGGATCCGAAGAACACTACAATCCACCTCGCACACGAGACAGACTGTACGAAGTTCTACAAGTGCCAAGCGGGCAAGAAAATACTGCAACAATGTGCCAAGATGAACAAAAAAGGCGACAGGCTACACTTCAACCCATGTCTTCAAGTCTGCGATTGGCCACAGAATGCTGGTTGCAAGTATAAGAAATCTGACGGGGACCAAGCCGAAGCGATGAACGAAGAATTTATTTCAAAGGTAAATCACAAAAGGGTAGCTCGCATGGTAAATGCTCGTAATGAATGCCCTGATAGAAATCCTGGTAACACTACGATCCTTCTCCCGCACGATTATGATTGCACAAAGTTTTACATGTGTCTCGGAAGTGAAAAAGTAGAACAAGTTTGTCCCTACATGAACGAGGAGGGTGACCGGTTGCATTTCAACCCGCGTACCAACGTTTGCGATTGGCCAAACAATGCTGGTTGCGAAGGCGAGGATCTCGACAATGATGTACCGTCTATCACAGATGATGACGAAGAAAATGAAGAAATACGGAAAATCCCCACAAAATGCCCAGCCAAGGACCCGAAGCACACAACAATCCATTTAGCACATGAGTACGACTGCACGAAATTTTATATGTGCCAAGCGGGCAGGAAGATCCTGAGAAAATGTCCCTACATGGACAAAAATGGTAACAGACTGCATTTCAACCCACGTCTTCAAGTTTGCGATTGGCCAGAGCATGCGGGTTGTCGGTCAAAACCTACGCATCCAACCCGATACACCACGGAACGCACAAGACCCACGGATCCAACCCGGCACACGCGTACCACGGAACGCACAAGACCCACGCAACCAACCTGGCACACCACTAAACGTCCTCCTGGAGACGATTGTCCTAAAGGCAGCGATGGTCTTTTGCTACCTCACCAATGTAATTGCGCCATGTTCTATGAATGTGTGAAGGGTGACAAGGTCTTGCGTGAGTGTGCAGACGGCCTGTACTTTAGCAAAAAGTACCAGGGCTGTGTTAAGATCGAGGATTCTGACTGCAGGAGGAAGGAGCCGCCACCTAAATGCACCCGGAATGGCGAGTTGATACCTCACGAGTGCGACTGTGGGAAATATTACAAATGTCGGAAAGACGATAAGGTGCTGCAATGGTGCGACGAAGGTTTACACTTTAGCCCAACACGACGTAAATGCGAAGATCCGGATAAAGCCGGTTGCAAGGATCCAGACAAGCCGATTGGACCTGGCGACTGCCCGAATTCTAAGGACCCGTGGCGTCACGAGTGCGACTGTAGATTGTTCTACAAGTGCGAAAATGGAAAGAAACGTCTGTACGAGTGTCCCTGGGGATATTACTACAATCCGAAATATGATACGTGCAGCCCTCAAGAACAAGTAAAGGATTGTAAAAATCATAACGATCGGAACGATTAAGATCGTACAGGTAGTCGACCTTAGAAGGTCTTAGAACGTTTTAGGAGATCTTAGAAAAAAAAAACGAGAAGAAACTCAAAATAGCGATCAGCGTGTAAAGCAAATTGCACGCTCGCTAAAAAGCTACACTGTATACTCGTAGAAATAGAATATATGTAATGTGCCTTTCTACGATACTTTAATAAATCTGACGACGTATAATCTATCTTTCAAAGATTTTCCTCGATCCGATCCTCCAATAACAAGTATAATCGCCGACTCATGCCATGTCATATCCAACGCCGATAAAAAATGTCGGGACACAACAATTTCACTTGATAATTCGCGGCAAAACAAATAAAAATGCCAATCATCGCTCGCATATAATCACACTGTAGATGCAGATACGTGTAATCCCGAAGCATTACGCCATTTCATTCAGAGGATTAAAAGATTTACTAATCTAAAAAAAACATGTATAATAAAATCGTTGATAAAAATCTCCCCCACCCCCATTCCTGACAGTCAGAAATCTTATCATTCATTTGCGAAATGCGTTCGTCGAATATTTCGCAAGATACGCAGAAGTATTCGCATGGCGAGCGCACCGAAGACAAAGGCAACGACCAAGAGGGGAAGGGGGGGGAGGGGGGAGAACGGCAAAAAGCAGAGAAACACCGGTAGCGTTTCGATTCCGGTGACACAGTGACACGGAGCCTATCAGCCGAGCCCCTCTCTATTCGGCGGCCGTTCCTGATAAATAGAACGGTACCGGGAACAGTGTCGCGAGTCCCGACAATGGGCCGCCGGAAGACCGGGGCAGCTTTAATTTCCCCCCGCAGTTCCTGGCAATTACCGCGTGGCGCGGCCCGATAGCCATCTCTATCTCCGACCACAATGCCGCCAGTTCCGACGCACCCCGTTCCTTGCCACCTTGCCAGCGATTTACCCACCCCCGTTTCACCCCCTGCCCTCGACCCCTCGTCCGAAGCGAAGCGTCGTCGATCTTCGACGACTTTTCTCATCGCGACGTGACACACGGAGCTGTCCATCCGGTCCCGCGAATTCATCCTCTATATTAGCAAATTATCGACGAGGATGAAACCACCCCTTTCCCCCTATCCCGTTCCAGGGATATCGAGAATGTTTATTCTACGATTTTCTACGCGATCGGGACGCATGTGCGAGACTGAGTTCGCGGCCGAGTTGGGATTGAGTGTTTAACAACTCGCGGCTGAACTCCTTGGAGGAGTTTGCAAATGGTTCGAGACGATTGGAGCGCGACTGCTTAAGTTCGGTTAACGAAGAAAGAAGAGGAGAAGGAACGTGGGTGCGCGCGAGAGGCGAAGCGGCGACGAAACCATCCTCTCCTCTCCTCTCCTCTCTCTCTCTCTCTCTCTCTTTCCCGCTCGCTCTTTCTCACGGCAACATTATCGTGTTTTAATTTAACTTGCAGCTGCACTTTAATTAGACTTTGGCTGAATGAGGAGATGACGCTCGACGGGCAAAGCGAATAAGAACTGGCAAGTAAACGGGAGGCGAAGCGAGCGAACTCCATTCCTCACCCATTTCCCTGTGCCTGGGCGACCTCCCTCCCCCTCCCAACCGCCTACCTTCCCTTGTACCACCTTTTCCTTCTTCATCTATCCACGGTTACACAGAAAATTCGAGTGATAAGGAAAGGGAGCGCGCGCGCCCGCGCCGGAAAAGGAAGGTAATTGGCCGATGCTGACAATGTCGTTGTCGGCAACGTCGCTTCTACATAATTTTTCCTTACCTCCCCGCGACTCCGGAATGAGAGATATATTTTGAGATACATAAGTGTAATCGGGGTGATTGTAGGCGAAATTCGTATAATTTCCTGGAGCGTTCTCCGACCTTCGCGTCATCTCTCTATCCATGCGCATTCTCACAATGTTTCATCGGCTAAAATATATCTCTTGATCGCGGTGCGTCGATTTCGACGGAATTTCAGCAGGTTGCTGTTCACTTCGAACCTCCGGAAAAAAAAAACCGTCATCTCTCTCTCTCTCTCTACATCACGTCGCTTCTTCCCGCGACGCTTCTCCACGAGTCGCCGACATATCGCCACGCTCGTTCGCCAGCTCTCACGCGACTCGCCGGCGAGACGCCAGCTACTTTCTCCTCCACGGCCAGCGCGCATTCTCCGCGAAACTTGCGACGCGAAGCGCAATAAATCTCACGGCTCTTTCGCTCGCGCAGCGTCTCGCGTTGCTCGAAATAATGACACGGCGAAGCCATGGGGACTCGCGTAAAGTCGGTTTTCAATGGCACCCCTCGTCACTCTCTCTCTCTCTGTCTGTCTGTCTGGCGCACGCACCCAGTATCTCTTCGCGCTTAATGAACGCCGAAACTGTCGCGAAGCCTCGCCCGTGAGCGCGGCGCCTTTTCCGTCCTCCTGCGCGACTCATAGGCACCGTGCTTCGCGCAATAATCGCGACAATGGAATATTCGTACTTCGGCGAACGACATCAAAGGCGATCGCGAAGTCTTATCGCGACACCGCGTACGTTCGGCCCCGGGGATTAAGCGGGATGATCGAACTCGGTCGGGGCGCAGTCATCGAAATCGCCCACATCTCACCCTTCTCTGTCTATCTCTTTCTCCCTCCCTTCTCGGACGTGAAATCTCGACGTCACGCTGTGCGATCATCCTGCGCTACTAATTATATCACGAGAATATTTCTCGTAGCAAGATCCCGACGCGATCTCCTCTGGGAATAAATGAGAGGAGAAGGGAGGAGGAAATGATTTCGCGAGGATGTGTTACCGCGTGTCGCGCAGTTTTTATTTCCAATTATCCACCTCCGATAACGACCTCTCCCCGTTCCCAGCTTCTTCCTCCTCCTCCTGCTCTTTTTTTCCGCGGAGTCCTAATGCTACCTCCGTCCTCCGCTGAGAACCTCTGTTCCAGGTCGAGAGCACTTATTCGGGCCATAACTCCCGCGCGCGCGTACCCTCCGTTTCTGCCATCCCGCCCTCATAAATACACGAGACGAGGCAAGGAAGAAGAAGAGAAGCGGTCCGACGAAGAGGAACGGCGGGAGGGGTGCGCGCCGGCGGAACCCGGGACGAGGAAAACGGCGAAATCGCAGCGCCGTAGGGGTGAGTGGGTGAACGGGAGGCGAATACGAGGCACGGGAATCCCCGGGACTTTAAAACAAATATATCGCGCGTAAATCCAGCGTGGATGTACCTAAGTCTGCCGGCGGGGGATGTGTCCCGAGGATGTATCCCTCGCGGGGGACACAGTCGCGAGAGACGCCCGCGAAGGAAAGAGAGCGAAGCAAATCGTCGACGTTTTGCTTTACATATTTCCCGCGGAATTGTCTCGGTCGCGCCGAGCGACAGGGGAGAAAGACACGACGGAGGAATGTACGCGAGAGAAAGAGAGAGAGAGGGTAACAAGGCGGACGTTTAAAATCCCATTTCTCTTCTCCTTTCCCTCTCCCTTCTCTGCCACTTCTCCCTTTTTATTTACTCACTATTATTATTTTTTTATTTAGACGGAAATTCGCGACCGTACCTGTTTCTCTTCCCTTCTCTTTGCCCCTTCGTATTTTCGCGCGGACATTTTTATTCGCGGCCTCGCGCGAGCCGACGTCCTCTCGCGAGGAGGGGAAGAATCGCTTTTCCAGACGGGAACAAACAGACGTCCGGGCGGTTTGTTCGCACGCTGCCACACACGGCCGGACCTCCTGGCGGAGCCGAGCGTATACGCGCACATATCCCGTGGGCGAGTGCTAGGATTCATGAATACCGGAGTATTTGCCGAGCGCGTACCGATACGCGTCGCGCGGCCAATTCCGCACCCTCGTCTCTCCGGGACCGCGCGGACACATCGAGTGTATCAGAAATCGCGCGCTGCGACACGGAAAAAAAAGACACCCATCCCAGCGGTCAGTTTCTCGAGACGGCGACTCGTGGAAGTTTTGCCCTCCGAGTCCTCCGAACTCTCCTTGTCTAATGACTATCTTCTCGCAGGCCGCGCCATTTGAAAACCTCCTATCAACACGACGTCGCCGACTCGACGTTCGCTCGAGACACGCCACCGGAATTCGAGAACTTTCCGAAATCGCTCGCGTCTCCATTCCGTGACGCCACGAAAGCAACCGCGATTTCGGCGCGGGAACAGCGCGCTCGACTCACCGAGACACCCTGTATATCGTGCACGCGCGCGCGCTCGGTAGTACGCGTTGTGCATGTAGCAGCCCCGGCAAAGTCCCCGCGGGCTTAATACGGTATGCACGTCTGTCGTTCGCAAGCTCGACCCTATGCGGGCTCGAATCCGCTACCAGCTAATATTCCACGAGAGGGCCCTGGGTTACGTGCCTCGACTCGGAAAACTCGCCGGCCTGGCCAGGGCAGTACCGCTCCTGATACCGAGCAGTCGATTCCGCTGCTACGTTAGATCGGACAAAAGCGCGGGTAATTGCCTCGCCCGTTTGCTGTCGGACGCGATATAAATACGGCGGGCCGGATAAGACCGCCGATTGACAGATAACCCGCGTCTTCGGCCGCTCGGAAGGTGATGATTAACACGCTGCCGCCCTGCTAGATTAACCCTTCGCGATCCGAGCTGTCTTCGACGCATTTCTTTCTTTCTCCGGACGATCTACAGAGATCCAGTTGTTTCGCGATGGTTCGTACATTCTGCATTTGCTCTACCATATTTTGGTAATTAGGGTAGCTACATGTATACAAATATTTTATTTAGTTTTTGTTTATTTTTTTCTCAGTGTTTCCTTAAGGTCTTCAGCCGAAACGAAACGCGATATCGAGGTAGACTCAAACGCATTAACTGAACTGAAACCGCAAAGGGTCAAGTTAGCGTGAATCGTTAATGCGTTAAAAGTCCCTCGGAGAGCCCTCAGACTTTCTCTTTGAAAGATGAGAGTTTCTTTTAAAAAGTGCATAGTTTTCGTCTTATTTCATGTCGCGTTCTGCGGAGAGCAAACGGATGCGTGTCGGTTAAAGGGTTAATCGCAACGACCCGCGCGC